TTAGTATTTTACGGTGAGAGGTATACACGGAGCTAATTAATTGTAGTTTTACAACAGAGGTCAGCAGCATACAAGCAGAGCATTAACAAAACATCGCCAGAAACCAGGTCCTAGATTGCAGCCCTTTCCCAATTCTGGCTTTGGCCAATGAGCCAAAAGCAATGATACATGAATTCAATGCTCAAACTCAAAAATCACAAAAGTTACAATTTGGATATAATTATGGTATAGAATTTAGGAACTGCGTAGCTTATGAGGTGTTTTATTATTCTAAAGTTCTACGTTTTTTGACTTTTTATTCTAACGTCTCAGGATATTAATATTAACCTTAAAAGCATTAAAATCTCTTTTTAGATGAGTATTTCAGTCAAAATGATGGAAGGTAACTTTTGGGTTATAGCCAGAGACTGTCTTTTTTTCATTCAATATTTTTTTTTATTTTTAAAATTTTACTTGTATTTTATATACATACACACATTCACACACACACTTTTCAGAGTTTCATAAATTTTTCCTAACTGAACTCCACTGTGTGGCATCACCCAGATCAAGAAACAGAATGTTAACAGCACCCTAGAATCCTCCCGCCACGCTCCCCTCTAATTACCAGCCTCTGCCAACCACACCTATAGCCATGGTGATCACCATCTTGACTTCTAACAGCATAGATTAGTTGTGTCTATTTTTGTACTTATGTTTACATGCAAACAGAATCATAGAGTACATATTCTGTCACGTCTGGCTTCTTTCACTCAACATTATGTTTGAGATTCACACATTGTTGCATGTAGTTGTAGATCATTCATTCTCATGGCTGTCTAGTATTCCAGTGAATGAGTAAACTACAACTTACTCATTCTAGTGTTGGTGAGTATTTGGGTACTTTCCAGTTCAGGGCTATTATAAATAACAATGATGAACACAGTAATTTTTTTTAAACTCCAAACAGTGCATGTAAATGAGAATGCAAAAGAAATTATTTTCAACTCTGTGCTCAAGATGTTTCACATCTAAATTTTTGGATGAGAACATACTTTTCCAAGAAATTTGGTTAGAGTAAGTCTTTAAAAATTCTAACAAATACCCAATGTTATCATAAAGAAAATTCTGAATGCTGAAGCAGCTAAAAATAAGAAGAATAATTTCAGTTTTTTTCAGTGTGCTTGAGTAAAGCTAGAAAAAATATCAGTATAGCCATCTAATTCCACATTGTAAAAGAAATTGTGAGGAGAGTCTGGAGGACAAGTCTGTTTGGTTTCCCAGAATACGCATTTATTGTAGATTAATTCATTTAACAAATATTTGAGTTAGACATTGTGCTAGATACTGAGAATAAAGGCATGAAGTAATTCCAGCCCTTATTTAGGGATGAAATTGAGAAGTAAACAGATGTGGTTAAGGGCTACATTTGAGTACAGGGTGCTATCCAAGTATGTAGGAGGATGTCAGATTGAATCTTTGTAAGGTGAGAGCTAGCTCTCCAGGGGGTATGACATGTGAACCAAGCCCTAAAGAACAAATAGAAACAATATGAAAAGAGAATGGGACCAATATTTAATCAGGGAAAATGCTCTGTGCAAAAGACCATGTGAGAGATATGAGGCATGTGATAAAATTTATGAGTTTCAAAAACATTGGGTTAAGCAAAAAAAAAAAGACACAAGAGAACATATAGTATGATTCCATTTATATGAAGTGCTAAAACAGGAATCCATGATGACAGAAATCAGAACATGAGGCAACTTTCTGGGGTGATGGAAATATTTGGAAATATTCTGTATCTGTGGGTTACACAGGTTTCTGAATTTCCAAAACTTATTATACTGAACACATATATGTGAGCATTTCAATGTATATAAACTAGACCTCAAAAAATAAAAATGGAAAATTGGGACCGTTTTAACTAGAATGTGTAGAAAATTCATCAAGAATGAAGGAGGAGATGCATGGAGGGGTGGGGTGAGGGGTGTTACCTCACGGGTCATCACCTGTGCCCACCTGACAAAGTCCCCCTCCTCCATTCTTCAAGGTCCACTTTTCCCTGTGAGGCCTTCCACGGACAAACCTCTTCTCCTTCCCTCAGTAAGAACAAATTTGAGGTGCCAGAATGTTCATAGAAAAGAGTTCCACCTGGAGTAATTTAGATAGAAATTCTAGGCCTGACCACAGGACCTCGAGAATGCTAGGATAACCGGGAGCGCCCCGAGGCACCACTTCTCCGTCCAACGTGAGGCCGAGTCCCACGTACAGCAACTAGAAGGATGTGAACCTATGACATACAACTATCTACTGGGGCTTTGGGGGGAAAAAACTGAATAAATAAAATCTTTAAAAAAAAAAAGACTTCAACAAATTTTTATAAGTCATTGTTGTAAGATATGAATGTAATAAATTAACATAAAAATGCTTTGTAAACAATAAAGCTAACACAAGTCGTTATGAGTTTGAAGCCACAAGGAATCTAATCTTTTGTTAACTTTTTTATTTTAAAATGTAAACAGAGTGGAGGAACTTCCACCCTGCCTCTCAGCTACATTCCCGTGTGCCATCCAGTAAAAGAGGATAAAAACCCCCAGATCGTTCTCACCCCTCTGGACACTGAGGCTGCTGGGCTGTGCCACACTCTTCATTCACCCACGGGCTTTCTCCTGAAAAGCATCAGATCAAAAGCTTTAGACGGCTGCCCCACAGACAAGAGAAGAGAAACAAATGTTCAATGGACATGATCTTTTCAAACTACTTAATTCCTGTTACTGCAATGACTATTCTTCCAGAACATAGTTAGTGCTATTTCACATTTGCAAGGTCATTGCCTCTAGTGCCTCGCACAGATCAGAAATCTACACTAACTGAATACCAGGAAGGCCGTGTTTACTGAGAAAAACAAAGGAGATTCCTTTAGCCAGAGAGGGATAATTTCTTTCTTTCTTTAATAATGTTTATTTCCTCAATGACAATGTTTTCCCAACTGCTAAAAAAAAATGTTTAATAAATATAGATATCCAATCTAAAGAAAAGAGAAAAGAAAACATAAAAAAAAATAGCCAATAAGAATAATTGATATCAAATGGGCAAAACTGAAAAAACAGTTAAGATCTTAACTAAAAACTTATTACTCCACAGATATTTCTGGTTATCGAACACTCCAGCTAATTTACGAAGTAGAAATGACAGAATATGAGTGTCATCATTTGCAACACCTGTGGAGCTAGGCAGGGCTCATCAAAGGCTAACATCCCCAACAAAGAAACAAGCAGATAAGATGTGCCACTTAATGGAAGTAACACCTCCTCCTATAAAATATATGCGCTAAATAAATAAATTAAACCCTGAATCTAAACGGTCCTTTGATTCTAACTACCAGTTTTCAAGAAACATTGGAGAGGACAAACTGCTTAAGTCACAGGACATGCAATCTGCAAACCCAGACTGGAAAACTCTACAGGACAAATGACCCATTTCTTCAACATGTAAATCGCAAGGGGAAAAAAGATGGAAGAAAGAATCTACTTTTAAAGGACTTCAAATAGATCAGCCAGTCTCAATGCGTGAAATCTATTTCAATCTTACTTCAAACAATCTTTTAAAAAATATTATGAAACAGAAAAATTTGAACACTGGGTATTTGATGACAATAAATAATCATCAATGACATTTTTAGATATATTGATGGTATTATAATTTTGTTAAATCCTTATCTTTTTTAGATTCATACTGAAAATATTTACAGACGAATGATATTAACTCTAGGGTTTGCTTTGAAATAATCTAAAATTTAGGGAGGTAGGTTGGGGAGAATAAAGAGTATATTTTATTATGAAAAAAATGCAAAACTTGGAAATAAGCAAAAGGAGAGCTGATCACTAAACTTCATTTTAAAGTAGTAATTATCGGGCCGGCCCCGTGGCTTAGCAGTTAAGTGCTCGTGCTCCGCTATTGGCGGTCCAGGTTCGGATCCCGGCTGCGCACTGACGCACCGCTTCTCCGGCCATGCTGTGGCCACGTCCCACATACAGCAACAAGAAGGATGTGCAATTATGACATGCAACTATCTACTGGGGCTTTGGGGAAAAAAAGGAGGAGGACTGGGAATAAATGTTAGCTCAGAGTCGGTCTTCCTCAGCAAAAAGAGGAGGATTAGCATGGATGTTAGCTCAGGGCTGATCTTCCTCACGAAATAAATAAATAAATAAATAAATAAATAAATAAAGTAAGAATTATCTAAAAAGCCCACCTACAGATTTTCTAATTACCTAAGAGTATATACCTTTACCCAGCTTATTCTTTACAATTCACTTTACAACTCAGTAACGGTAACAGTTAATTGGTAGAAATGAATAGCCATATAACCGATTCTTGTCTGATAGCAAATAAATTGCCCTGTAGAAATACAGATAATTTCTGTCCCACCAAAAATTAGAGTTTTAGTGATTTTATTCCAACATTCTTTCAGTCCCATATATTCTTAGTCTCACTGATTCTCTTTGAGCCAGCTTAACATTCCAGTTGGTTATCTCATTGATGAGTTAATAAGTCTTTGACATCTTCACTTTACATTCATATGAGAGTTGTGTTTTCATCTTTTTGAAAATTGTACTGTGTCAATGTGAGACAAGATTGGCCATGAGTTGATCATTGCTAAAGCTAGGTGATGGACATACGAGGAAAACATCGTACTATTCTCTCCTTTGTATATGTTGGAAATGTATCATAAAGTTTAAAAAATTCTAAACTTAAAATATAAAAGTAACTAGCTGGTTTCTTGCACAAAAATTATTCAAATCCCCTCAAACTACTGTTTGAAGAAATAATTTTGGCAAAAATCGTTTAATATCTTTAAAGTATTGAATCCTTAGGGTGAGAAAACATTTACATTTATTTAAAAAATAAACTGAAATGATTAGTGGTAATGGCAAACTTCAACACGGCTTATAACAATTACTTCTGTTTATGTTAAATTCAAAAAATATTGTGCAATGAATTCAGTGGGAAAATTTACCACATGACCAGAGGATCAGTCTTGAGATAAAAAGTTAAGAGTTATAAAATAGGGCCAGAAGGTAGGGGAATACAGAGGTCAGAGGTAGTATGGTCAGTGAACTCAGAGAAATAAGCAAACTAGAAACTATACTTGCCTTTGTGAATTTAGTGGGATTTTTAATGACACAATATTCACTATAAATATCAAACAATTATCATTTAAAAACAGAGTTACCATTTCAGGCTTTTTTTTTTTTCCTTTCTGATTGTCCTTTTTAGCTGATTTTTAATTATATTTTGCAGAAAAACTGATTCCTCTATTAGTGCAAAACCTATTTTCTACTAAGGGATTATAGTTAATAATGTTTCTACTATAACATTTTCCTCCTTTTTAAAAAATAAGAATTCAACCAAATCCCTTTTTTTGGTCTAAAAATATTAAAACTGTAAGTTAATTAGCTCTACTGGATGTAGCGTTATGAAAAAGGCATTGAGGGTTGGCCTAGTGGCGTAGCGGTTAAGTGCACGCTCTCCGCTGCCGGAGGCCTGGGTTTGGATCCCAGGCGCCCACCGATGCACCGCTTGTCAGGCCATGCTGTGGCGGCAGCCCATATAAAGTGGAGGAAGATAGGCACGGATGTTAGCCCAGGGCCAGTCTTACTCAGCAAAAAAAGAGGAGGATTGGCATGGATGTTAGCTCAGGGCTGATCTTCCTCACACACACACACAAAAGAAAAAGGCATTGATAGCTTGAAGCAATTTTGTTGCTATGTTATAAGTGCATTTTTCATAAATATCATCAGATGTTCTGAGGGAATGGTGACTTAAGAAAAAAAATCTGCACCATCTATAAAGTGGCAAGTGGGTGGCATTAGAGGTGAATAACCTAGATTATAATTTTGGCTCTGCATTAACTCCCCGAGGGCCCTAAATCAGTAATTGAACCAGTCAGGACACAGTTATTTTAACAACATTGGTTTAACGGACTGATGTTTGGGCCAGATAACCTCTTTCATAAGGTTTTAACTTGAGGATCTGCCATCTGGTGTCCCAAACCACAAGTCTAGCAGTCAATGGACTGAAAAAGACCTCGTCTTACAGAGAAATATAAGACTTGAGGCTTTCTCCTCTTTTCTACAGTATTTACGCTATGAGCTCTCTTCCTCTATGGGGCACAAACCACATTTCTTCCCATAGTAAACACATTTGGTCTTTTCTTCTATATGGACTAGCTAAAGAGTCTCTGACTTGTTTTAACTTTGCAGCCTAAGCCAGCTTTAGGTCACTGAACTCTCAGAGGCAAATGGGTTGACATCCTCTGCTTACCTTGGCAAACACTCTTATAGTTAGTACAGCAGTCTTTCCTCTGCAAACAGTCATCTGAACAGGAGCAAAGGCTGGATTCTAGTCTGGTCTCCCCACAACGAAACTCATTGCATGTCCATATTCGGGCTGTAAAATTACACAGTTTGGTTCTGAGCATTTAACTTATTTTACGTATCCAACACCAAAATATAAATTTCATGCATTTCTCCCTGCATTATTGTACAGGCAAATTCTCGGTTTATCTGCATTAAGAAATGAAAATACATAATACAAATAAGGGGCAATCCACCACTTTTCTTCATTCGGCATGAGTGGCAGAGAGAAATGCTGGGCTACCTAGCACATTCACCTCTGAGTCTGGAGAAACTCTGAACACCAGTCCTATTCCCACCCAGGGGTAGGAGCTCCCGATGGTGAAGAACCACTAACCCTGAGTGATTGCTGCCACTCAAGAGCAGCTTTGCCCAGGCTTGTCTAAGGGCAGGCAGCAAGGAAGAGACAGTGACAACAGAACTAACAAGAACACAGTCAGGTCTGTAAGAATGTAGGCAGGTCAGGGTGCCTGCCAGCTGAGAGTGACAGAACTGGTAGATCAGCTCCTACCACGCCTCTCCTGTTCTCCCAGGCTATGTACTTAGTATGAGATCAGTTTAAATAAGTCCCAATGCTAAAAACACAAGAGGCTGCACTGAGGCTGCTTCCCAGTGTACCAGCTAGGAAACGGTGACTAAAATCAATGTCAGCCCTGTGCTTAGACAAATACTGAGTGCTGTGTGCTTCAGTTGTGCACAGAGTTCTTCATTCCTCATTATTTAGTATTTACTTAGAAAGAAAAGATTTGGGGACATTAAGAAAGGGAATACAGATCTTATCTAGACTAGGTTATCCCCTCCCTCCTGCCCTTTTCAGAGAGCATAGTGTAAGGAGCTCTACTGTTCTAATCTTCACTCTCCTCGACCCTCTAGACTCCCCACCTGCCCTGATTTCTTAGAAAGTTAAACATTGCAAACTGTGTCTTCCACGTAGAGAACAAAGTTTCTTAAGTTGTGTTCTGTAGACACTGGCACCAGAATCACCAAGAATCACCAGCTTTCTTAATGAGCCTTATGCACCTGAAATTTGAGAACCACTACAAATGAAACCAAATAAGAGGATTAACTTACGCCATAGTAAAACTCCATTGAAATAGATGTAATTTTACAGCATTTCATCCCTAGAGACTGTTACTCTTCAACCTCAATTAAATAAAAAGTGGACTCTGCGTTTAGCACTGTAAAGAGGGACTTGATAATACTAGATCCTGTATACAAGGTATTACGGGTTGAAATGTGTGCCCCCCAAAAAATGTTGAAGTCCTAACCCCCATTACTGTGAATGCAACCTTACTTTAGAAAAGGATCTTTGCAGATAACCAAGTCACAATGAGGTCATTAGGGTGGGCCCTAATCCAGTATGACTGGTGTTCTTATTAAAAGGGTAAGTCTGGACATGGACACACCCAGAGGGAGGATTGTGAAGACACAGGGAGAAAGCCATGTGAAGGTGAAGGCAGAGTTTGAAGTTAGGCTGCCACAGAGCAAAGAATGCCAAGATTGCCAGCAACCTCCCAGAAGCTCGGAGAGAGGCATGGGGCACAGTCTCCCTCACAGTCTTCAGAAGCAACCAACCCTGCCAACAGATCTTGTGCTTCTAGCTTCTAGAACTGTGAGAAAATGAATTTCTGTGGTTTAAGCCACCCAGTTTGTGGACTTTGTTATGGTAGCCCTAGCAAACTAATACACCAGGTGTATGGTGAGCATTTGCGCATGTATTAATGATAGCACCACTAACACGCTGATAAAATTATTCTCAGAATTCATACTTGATTCCACACAGGTCTCTTCAAAATCCCAGCAGCAGTCGCCTCGGTCTTGACATCGCACATCACACCGGCAGCCCTCCAATCCCCTAAATGAAGAATCAAAGCATTTTTTCCTGCAGCTGCCTGTACAGTGAAGGAAATAAGGAAACCAACAGTTAGAAAGTATCTCATAGCTAGATGGTAGAAGCACATAGCAGTACTAGCACAGACAATGCAGACAAATAGGTAATTTTTATTGTGCTATATGATCCATCAGTGCAAAGTAATAAGTAATGAGTGATAAATAATGAGTGATTTTTCCCAAGGCCCCAGAGAGGCCCCAGACTCAGAGACATCAGGCACCATTAGATGAGGGTAGGAGGGACAGGCAGAGGCTAAATATAGTGGAATTGGTTGAAAGTCTGAATTTGGAGCAGTGACTACACACTCCACTTCCTACTACAGAATAGAAGGCCCATAATCTGGAGGAATTTAGGAGGAGCAGCTTTCATCACAGGGACAGCAGACATAGAGGATTAACAACAATGAGAAAAGATGACCAAGCCTCACTCTCAAATGTGAACAGATGGTTACCAGACATGTGAGGATGGCAGGAAGCATCTGACATGAAAGACAAAGACCAAAACAAACAAGAAAAACAGAAAAACTTGGTTGAAAAGGAAACAATTGCAAGGATCAGAAGAATTACACACACGCACGCACACACACATACACACACACATGCAACTAATATTGAGATCCACCAAAAAGAGAAGATATTGCATCCGTGAATAAGAAAGAAAGCTTAATTAAAAAGAGATAAATAACATTCAGGATGCTCTTGGAAATAAAACCATGAGAGTAGTAATAAAAAATTCAATGGAGGGGTGTGGTAGGGAGAATTACAGTTCCCAAGACGATTCCACGCCCTATCCCCAAGACTGTGAGTATGTTACCTTACGTAGCAAAGGGACTTTACAGATGTAATTAAAGTTATTGTTTAGTTGACCTTAAAAGAGGGAGGTAGTACCTAAAAGTGAAAACAAAGAAAATGGAGATGATATTATCAAAGAAATCATATCATAAAATTTCCCAGAACTGAAGAGCATAAATTATTACAGCAAAAGAGCCCACCCATTTTCCCAGGGCAAAACTCACACCAAGGGATCAACAGGGATAAAGAGATCTTGAAAGCTCCCAGAGAAAGATCATGAGCAATCTGTAAAGGGTCACAAGTCAGAATGGTATCAAATTTTTTAAAAGCAACCCTGGAAGCTAGAAGACAGGAAAGTAGTGTCTTGAAATTTCTAGAGGAAAATTATTTTCATCTTAGAATTCAATATCTAGCCAAACTCTCAAGTGTTGGGATAGGATGATGAACATGTCTTTATATGGGTAAGAACTCAAGTTATGTCTCTCATGCATCCTATGTTAGGAAGCTACTGAAGGATGTTTTTCAGCAAAATGAAGAAGGAAAACAAAAAAAGAGATCCAAAAAGTATGAGATCCAGTACAATGGAGAAGCTAGAGAAACACCAAACATACACCAAACAAACCAAGAGAGCAAGTAACACGGACTGGAGCAGGAGGATAGAAAAAGAAAAATTAAAATTAAAGATACCCTTCTATACCCAACTTTAGACTGCCAGAATGAGGGAGCCAGATAGTGCCAAGGGTCGGTGGGGATGCACGGAAAAGGCAGGGTAGGCTGTGGCAGCCATTCTAGAAAGAAATCTGGGACTACTTACCCAATTTAAAATGTAAACTCTAAGATCCAGGACTTCCATTCCTGGGTATGTGACAAAGCAAATCTCACACAGGTCCATAAGGGAACCTGCAGGATTTACACGGTGTTAGGGAACTAAAGTCACCTCGGTATCCAGCACTGTGAAAGGGCATAAGTCAAATGGTGTGTTGGATACACGCCAAAGAGTACTGTGTGGTAAGTAGATAGACACATAAGAATTGATGTATGCACAGCAATTTAGATGGATCTTAAAAAACATTCAGTGAAAAAGTAAGAAAAAAAAAGTTTATATACTATTTACATAAAAGGCCTTCACATTTTTACATTCACTCTCCTCCTTTGAAACATTTTCCACACTTGGCTTCCAGGACCCAATAATCACCTGGTTTTCCTCCCACACTCCTGGCTGCTCCTTCCTAGTCTCCTTCTTTGTTTTTCCCGCCCCCCCCCCCCCATCTTCCCAATCCTTTAAGGTTGGCGTACCCTGGTCACATTGCTTTAAATCCTATGTATGATGCTGCGAGCCACCACATTGTAAGTCCAGCTAGGACTTACCCTCTAAAGTCAGCCTCAACTACCATCCAACCACCATCATGACTTTTCTACTTGGACATCTAGTAGATATTTCAAATTTAACACATTCCAAACTAAGCTCCTGATTATTTTCCCCAAACCAGCTCCTTCTACAGTCCTCCCCATCTCAATTATGGAAATGCCATATTTTCAGATGTTCATGCCAAAAATCTTGAGGTCATTCTTGACTCCTCTCTTTCTCACTCCATAGTCAATCTGTCAATAAAATCCATCCACTAGGGGCCGGCACCGTGGCTTAGCGGTTAAGTGCACGCACTCCACTACTGGCGGCCCGGGTTCGGATCCCGGGCACACACTGACTCACCACTTGTCCGGCCATGCTGAGGCGGCGTCCCACATACAGCAACTAGAAGGATGTGCAACTGTGACATACAACTATCTACTGGGGCTTTGGGGAGAAAAAGGGGGAAAAAAGGAGGAGGATTGGCAATAGATGTTAGCTTAGCGCCGGTCTTCCTCAGCAAAAAAAGAGGAGGATTGGCATGGATGTTAGCTCAGGGCCGATCTTCCTCACAGGAAAAAAATATACATATATTAAAAAACATATTAAAAATCCATCCACTACATCAAAATATATCCAGAATCAAAATATTTCTCACCAATTACAATGCCCCACCCTGGCCCGAGACACAAGGCCTGTCTGTATTATTGCAATAATTTCCTAACTGGTCTCTCTCCTTCTCCTGGTGTCACTCTGCCATTTAGTCATAACAGCCAGCAGCCTGAGTGACTGTGTGAAAAGCAAACTGCACATGTCATTCCTCTGCCCAAAACCTCCAATCACCTCCCATCACTCTCAGAAGGGAAGCTGAAGGCCACACTGTGGCCCACCAACCCCTCTCTGATCTGGCTCCTCTTGGTCCGTCTCGTTTTATGACTCCCTCCCTCTAGTCCTCCTAGTTCTAGCTCACCGATCTTCCTGTTATTCCCTAAATGGTGTTCTTTACACACCAGGCAAGCTCTGGCCCTGGCCCTTCACACTCGCTATTCCTTCTTGCCTGGACTGTTCTTCCCCAAAATATCCCTGTTTCCCCCTCACCTCCTTCAGCTCTTTAGAAAAGCTACTTCATACACACAGCCCACTCTGCCTTGACTCAATATTTCATATTCCCCTTTTCAGGTTTACTTATCCCTTAGCATTTTCTCCATCATATTATATATATTTTGCTTATTTATATTTTTATTGTCTGTCTTCCCTGCTAGAATATAAACTCTTTGAAGGATTTTTGTCTGTTATCTTTACCACTGTATCCCCAGTAATTGGAATAGTACCTAGCACATAGTCAGTGCTCAGTTGTTAAAGAATAAATAAAAAGTATGTGCATGCATAATAATAAATTTGTAAGAATGCTTACCAACTCAAGCTAAAAAACCTAGTTTAAAAACTCACACTAGAAAAAAAAATAGATTGCCTATGAAGAGTGGGTTAACTGGAGCAGAGAGTGGTGAAAGTGGTCCAGGGTGGGCTATTAGGACACAGTTGTGGTGGAAGATAGAGGGGATGAACATGTTAAGGACGCTGGCAAAGAGGGACTGGAGTTAAATATCAAGGACCCTGGGGAGGGCGGAGAGGGAGGGGGAAGGGAGCGCTGCCACCTGAGGGCTGATGGACTGAGACGAAAGGAGAATAAGGAACAATGATTGTGGGAAGCCAGCCAGTGGGTGTGCTAAAGGAAGGAAGGGAGTGAAAGAGGTGGAATAACGTCAGATTTTGTTCGGAGATTAGTATATGCCTCTTGCAATTAGTTTATGTGATTTGTGGGGTAAAATAAACAAGAAATAGGGCCTGCCCAGTGGCACAGCGGTTAAGAGCGGGCGCTCGGCTTTGGCGGACCGGGGTTCACAGGTTCAGATCCCGGACGCGCAGCAACGCACCGCTTGTCAAGCCATGCTGTGGCAGCGTCCCACATAAAGTAGAGGAAGATGGGCACAGATGTTAGCCCAGGGCCAATCTTCCTCAGCAAAAAGAGGAGGATGGGCAACGGATGTTAGTTCAGGGCTGATCTTCCTCACACAAAAAAAATTAATAATAATAATAATAATAATAGAGGCCTGCCCGGTAGTGCAAGTGGTTAAGTGTGCGTGCTCCACTTCGGTGGCCCAGGGTTTGCCGGTTCGGATCCCGGACGTGCACCGATGCACCGCTTGTCAAGCCATGCTGTGGTGGCATCCCACATAAAGTAGAGGAAAATGGGCATGGATGTTAGCCCAGGGCCAGTCTTCCTCACACAAACACACACACACAAAAATAATAAGTATTATAACCTATAAAAAAATAAATAATAATAAACAAGAAATGACACCCACCTGTGTACACTAACATTAGAATAATACTACCAGAATGGCCTGCCAACTTTTGTTAGATCTAGGATTGGTACTATAGTTCAGAAACACAAGAGCCAAGTGACCAAGAAAAGACGGTAACTTTCTAGCTAATGTCCACCTTTTCCGTTCCACTGTGCTCCCCTGTTACACTAGGGGTACTGAGTGCTGGTTAATTCTTAAATGGAACCATAACTGGAAAATTGTCAGTTATCTTTACCAAGAGTCTCCCTAATGAAGAAGTAATAAGACTTCCCCCACTGGAATCAAACTAGAAGTTAGTCAGCCAAATTAAAAAGGGGGCCGGCCCAGTGGTATAGTGGTTAAGTTCACATGCTCTGCTTTGGCGGCACAGGGTTCACAGGTTCAGATCGTGGGCACCGACCTACACACTGCTCGTCAAGCCGTGCTGTGGTGGCATCCCAATAAAGTAGAGGAAGATGGGCACAGATGTTAGCTCAGGGCCAACCTTCCTCACCAATAAAAAAAGGTGGGGGGGAATAAATTATCTAACTTTTGACCTCACACTTCCCCTTAGAAAAAGTATCAAAATAATACATAACAAGTTTATAGATAGTGCTTTTTGTATAGTCAAGTGTAAATGGTTTATTTACTATTCGTCCTAATGGGATACGACAAAAGACAAAAGAGACCTGAAGTCTATTGATATTTTGGGGCATGTATCTCCTCTTTTTTTTTTTTTTTTTTGCTTCTTATTAGAAAAAAAAATGTGAAGCTTTTATTCTGCACTACATTTCAAGAATGTGACACTGCCTGACCAAGAAACAGAGAGATTTCAGGGATGGAGCAATACTAACTTGATATCCAGGTGCAGCAGTGGTGGCAGGAGTTCCTGGGAGTGGAGCAACAAAGACTTTCGAGGACAAGTTTATCATCAGATAGTAAAGATCAGAGGAGGAGCAGGGACAAAGGAATCTCTGATCAGTTATCAAAGTCCTCAATGAAGGAGAGGAAAAGTCAGAGAAAAATACTGGGGTGATACGAATCTCAAAGTAGCAGGGGGATGAGGGCAAAGAGTGAAGTCCAGAAATGACAGTGGGTAATGCTAACCAGGGATGCGGGCTTCCCATGAGCAGGGCTGGCAGAAGGAGAAGCCTAGTAGGAGAGTGCCGCATGTAGGAGGGAAAGGGCTCCAGAGAGGAGCGTACAAGTTTTAACAGGTGAAGGTGAGGAGAAAGAAGCAACACGGGATGTTCCGAGACATTGCTGAAGGGTATACCTTGCTGTTCCAGTTGCCTGAGTCCAAGGCCCAGCCCTAATCCAAGTGACACAATCACCAACAGAGCAAGGAGAACCTATTACAAAAAAGGAAAGTGAAATTTACAATATTTTTAAAATATACAAAGATCCAGATAACCACCCTCCACCAGTGAGTATTAAGGGTACACAGCGTGCTAATTTGCCTAATACCAGATCCAATAATGATAGAGCCACATTTTATTTAACACCTGGAAATAAGAAAGGTTTGGAAAGAATTTTTAAATACCATTTATTACAGACCTTCAAAATCAAGTACATGAGTCCCAGTGAGCTTAACCCCAAATTGAGTTAAAGTGTGAATGAAACTAATGGAGCCATTTACCTTTTGCTCAGTTTTCTTAACTAGACAACTATTTGGAAATCATTAATGTAAAAGTATTCCAAAACTGTGAAATTGTTAACTACCTCGTTCCTAGGGAGCAGGGTTCTTTTTCCCCACCCTGTCCATCAGAGGATAATGAGAATATGTAACACATGTAAAAATACAGTGCCCAAATAATTAACTGGCAAATGATCTGCTTTCATCTACAGCTCAAACCAATCATTTAGAGTAACTTGGAAGCTGTGCGACCAAAAATCGTGTGTGTCATTCATTATCACGACTGCTGACAAAGCTCTTCAGTGTAGTGGACTTTATGCTCTGATTAGAATTAAACTGCAATATAATTAAAGAGAATTCTTCCTGCTGACCTCTTTCCCCATCCATTAAGTCCAATGATAAGCATGCTGGATGATAGAGCTTGAGTAATGTGTATCGCCATAAAGAATATGAATGCAATGGACACACAGATTCCTTAGGAAAGTATTTTACAATACCAGTAACCTTTGTTATGGTTTTAAAAAACACCACTTTTATGAAAGAAAAAAACACAAAATCAAGATTTGCTTAGATAATAAAGACCTACATAAACTATTGACTTTTTAATTTTTATTCTGAAAATCAACTGAAAAATTAACGTATCTAACTCTTGCAATAGAAGTGAATTCAACAATTGGAAAAATATGTTAAAACACTATGAAAACAGTTCTCATATGAAGTTTCAAAGTTAGCCCCAGGGTCAAGGACCTTCCAGCAGCATTCATTCAGTGGAGTGAATGAAGAGGGAAAGGGGAACATAAACAGTTATTAAATAACATCATTAGCACTTTGTTCTCTGTTATGATGCTCAAAAGCCACAGGTGACCAAGACTAGGAATACTACAAAGCAACAAAACGCCGGGAAACTTTCCTTTGGAAAACCTCATGCATCATAGATTTACAAACTGGTGTGTTTTGGTTAACATCTTATCTTTGGTCTGTTCACCATTCAAACTTGCTGGAAAAATAAACAATATCTAGCTGTCCCTAGGATGCTTTAAAACTTTGTAATATTAAATCTTAGTGTCTGTTTCTTCATGACTTTGTACTTGTTCTATATATTAATGGCTTGCTCTCTGCATTATTCTGTCAGCTCCTTGAGAGTAAGAAGGTTCATTTTTAACACATACAATCATTTACTCCAAACATGTAATTCTGAATAAGCTTCTTGATATTGAGGTACATATGTGTCTTAACCTATCTCATGCTATCTACAAAGTGGAGAGAGGAGTACTGCAGGCTCCAACAGTCACTGAGAGCCCAGCATTTGGCTTTGGCTCGGCTGCGTAAAGTGTGCTAGAAACAAAGTACATACCTTTAAATTTGTCAAATGAAACTTTTAGTAAAAGTTGGAAACATCAAGGTACCTTTGAAACTATGATTTTAAAATATTGATCTTCTACTAGAAGTACTAATAGACCACTAGAAAGATATGAAGAATGGAAATAAATGATGCCCAAGTTTTGTTCCCAAGGAGTTTATAATTTCCTCACTTTATAAGATAGGATACATTTAATAAATGGCATAGGAGCTAGAAGAGCACTGCAAAATTCCCAGACGGATAATGAATAGAGAATCTTGAAGGTTTACTTTGTTACAGTCACCGGGTTCAATGCTTCCACATGTTTCATTTATTCCTCAAAACAGTGCTTGAGTGACAGAATGGTGGTGACATTAACTAAAGTAGAGAATTTAGGAGAAAGCTGCAGCAGGATAGGCGAGAGAAAATTATGCACTTGGTTTTGGCTTGAGGTCCTGGATGAGGAGCCAGGCATCTGAAATTGTGTAACCAAAACTCAGCAGAAGGTCAGAGCTTGTGGCTTATTTGGAAATTTGCTTGAGAATATGACTCTTAAAACCATGGAAGAAGATGAGAATGCCTGAAGAAAACATCTTTAGACAGGGTTTGGCGGAACACTTACGTGCAAAGTGCAATGAGAAGAAAGATAAATCAGCCAAGAATGCAGGTAAGGAGAAATGTCACAAAAATGGGAATTTCACTGCCATCATGCAAGCAAAGAGAGAGCATAATTCAAAATGAGAAAATACTCAACAATATCCATGTACTGTCATTCTGGAGACTCAGCAGAAGAATGCGAGGGGAGAAGGACTGACTTTGAGGGGGTAACTTCAGTACAGTAAAAACAAAGCCAGAGAACAGAAGTTGGGTAGTGAGAAAACACAGGCAGTGGACAGAACTCCCCTTTCCCTGAAAGCACGCTGGTAAAGGGAAAAGAAAGAGTAATACAGTCAAAGGAAGCTTTTTTTTTTTTTTTTTTTTTTTTAGGACAGGGAAGATCTTACCATATAAAAGAACAAGAAAGAGAAAACAGGCAAAAGAGACTACCTCTAGGAGTGAAGTAAAATAGGATAAAAGCAGTAGTCCAATAAAGAATATAGGCTTGGTGATTTTAATTTCTCACTCTCTGGTCTTAAAATAGTCATGCAATAAAAAGGTGACTTGGAGGTAATTATAATCATGCTAACATCAACGCTGCAAGGTGTTCTGCCACAGATCCCAACTTTCTAGATTGATCAAGTATTAATTTGTTGTTACTCAAATTTATAAAATATAATTAAAAATATTAACTTTGCATTCCAGTTGTCATAAGGGATAAAACTGAACACAATTACTTAAAACTTTACATTTAAATAGCAACACAAACAAATATAAACGGGGAGTCATACACTTAACATTTGTCACAAAGCTAGAAAGACTAGAATTAAGAACGGTACTTACAATACAAATTATTTTAAGTTTCTTAATAGAGTTCTTCTTAACAGGTTCTTCCACTGATAAAGACAGCATAGAATCCATTGTTCTGTTAACTATATAAACCTGTTTTACCAGAAGAGAGTAGCACTCTTTCCTTTTCCCAGTCTGACAAAGAGAAACTGTATGAGTTACGTGGCTGTGGCTGACTTTTAAATGTTTGGGAAGATCACAGCTCTTTAGTGATTAGGCAATCAAAGAGAAGAAAAAAATTGTAATAATAATAGTGTTGAGAGATGAAAGTCCATTTCCAGTACATTGTAGACAACTGTTGTTTTCCTCTTTATAGTTTATACTAAATACTAATCAAAATATATGTAACAAGAATAATACAATAATCAAATTTTAATACGATCTGATCATTTATTTTCTTTAAAAATAACCCCTAACTAAAGGCCTTGTTACAGAAATTCCAGGGAGTTTCTACATTTATATAAACTTCATGTCACAATTGAAAACCAAAATATGAAAAACATGCTTTAACCAGAGTAGGAATTCCAACTTTGCTGAATCTCTGTAAAGTACTTAATTACGTGATAATTATGTCTTGCATTTTACATTGTTCACAATTTGATGTTTTTATACACATTATCTCGTGTCAAACTTAATATCCCTTATAAACATTTTACCCTTATTTTGTAGATGAGTAAAGTAAGGCTCTGTTTATTTACACTAAGTGACAGGACTTGCCTGTCCCAAGTCACATAGCTGCCAGCTGCCAGAAGTAGAGCTGGAACCCAACTCTTCTAACTCCCCAAATCCAAGGCAACTTTCGCTAACTAATTACACTCACTCTTTTCTCATTTACCTAGACGAGAGCATCCTGACACACGTACTGCATGCGGAGAAGGGGTTACAGGTGTATGATGAGAGAAGCTAACTGAATAGCGGTGTGGCCAAAGAGCGTGACAGTAAATGGCAGGGGTTAAGCTCTTCCAGTTTCAACGACCCTGAGGCAGTAATTCTCAGTGTGATCCTGTGGAACATTAGTCCTACGAAACCTCCTGGTCAAATCAAGCTTGAGAGCTCTTTTCTAATGTAAAGATTGTAAAAATGCTGTAGGCCGCAGTACACCCTTTGGAAAATACTATTCTAAACTATTCCAACCCTAAAAGCAGTGAAAAGAACAGGAAAAGAATCTATCCTATTTACAATGACTCATAAGTGTTAAGAATATTTCTGAAAATCACATCTGAACCCCTTTTCTGTTATTGAAGTCCACTTCCATAAGGAAAAATCTTGAGCAGAAGAGCCATGTTTCCTTTATGGCTTTGAGGGTCTGTGCGTTTTTTTCCCATCACTTCCTCAGTCCAGTATACCCCCCCTTCACCAGTTCTACCCATAGGCCTCACCAGTGAAAGCAACTGCATTAGTTGCTATAACAGAAGGAATTAATTTTAGAACTAGAAGATTCCGTAGAGATCATCTAAACCAAGGTCTTGCAGGCTTCTTTCCATGGACCACAATGGACTACCAGGCCTTTAAAAATAAGAAATGAACAAAAACATATTTGAATACCTTTGGCAAGCAGTTCTCCACACTGGATAAACTTAGAAGCATCCAAAGTAGATTTTAATTTTAATTTTTTTAATTCTGAAGCCCAGGCTCCACTTCCATGGAATTAGAATCTTTGGAGTTTTGGCTAAGGCAGCAGTGTTTGTTTATATGGGATTTTATATGTAACCAAGGGATTTTATATGTAGCCAACGTTAGTGTCAACACTTTGCTTTGAGCGGTGCAGACACATTTGAATTCTCTACTGTAAACATTCACTCTGATTCTAATCAAACTTGCTAATTTTACAGATGAGGGTAGAGGACCTGAGGGGCTGGATCCCTTGCCCAAGGTCACCTTGGTTATCGATAGCTCAGAAGTGAGATTCCACCAGGGCCTCAGACTCCCTCTTCAGGGTGTTTTGTTGTTATAATTGTTGTCGTGTCAAACTGATTGTGTAAAAGAAAGATCAAGCCCACATCACAATTTGCCACAAAATTAGGAGATTCCTAGGACCTATGGCTTTTATCTTGACATCTGACATATGCCTTCCATTTTTCTGGGCTTCTGGGTTCTAATTGCCCCTCTGTACTTACGACAATCTACCTCATCTGCCTGGACTCTGGTTTACAGCACTCCTGCTTTTATCTTCCCCTCTGTGGTGGTTAGTTTTGTATGTCGACTTGGCTAGGCTATAGTAACCAGTTACTTAATCAAACACTGGTCTAGGGTGTTGTTGTGATGGTATTTTGTAGATGTGGTAAGACTTTAAGTAAAAGATATTACCCTCAATAATGTGAGTGGGCCTCATCCAACCAGTTCAAGGCCTTAAGGACAAAACAAGTTGACCAGAGAAGAAGAAATTCTGCTCCAAGACTACAGCATTAGCCTGTGTTCCTAGCCTGCCAGCCTGCCCTGTCCTATAAATTTTGGGTTTGCCAGCCCCACAATCAAGTGAGGCAATTCATTTCTCTCTCTCCCCCCCTTTCTCACTCTCTCTCTCTCTCTCTCTGTTTCTCCATTCTTGTTCTGTTTTTCTGGAGAACTCTTACTGATATACCTTTTGAACGTGTTCTCACATTTTTCCTTCTTAAGACTTTGCCTCACTTACGACCTCTCCCCCTCATTTGAACCTCCAGATCTGTTCTCTTGGTTTCTGACTGTCTTCTTGATTTTTCACTTCTCATCTTGATATTTCCTACATTAATTTGTATACTTTGACCCCAGAATGCTTACCTGATACCCCAGCTGCACTTTCAGATGCTGCTTCCTGGTGCTCTCCAAGATGTCACTTGATCCTACACCAGCTTTGTTTACCAGGGTATCACTGATTCTGGCTTTACATTTTTACTCTATGATTCATTATCTCCCCCATGTCCAGAATGTCCCGCCTCTCTTCTTCCACCTTCATCCCCTATCCTCTTTCAACCCTGAGAACACAAAAAACACTAGATAAGGAAGTCAGGAGGCCTCTGATAAAGTCTTGTCTCTGTGACTTACAAGTTAATTGACTCTTGACATCAAAGTCTTCTTTATTTTTAAGGTGATCTCTAAGTTACTACATTTTGTGTGTGTGTGTGTGAGGAAGATCAGCCCTGAGCTAACATCCATGCCAATCCTCCTCTTTTTGCTGAGGAAGACTGGCCCTGGGCTAACATCCATGCCCATCTTCCTCCACTTTATATGGGATGCTGCCACAGCATGGCCTGATGAGTAGTGCAGCGGTGTGCGCCCGGGATCTGAACCCAGGCCACCAGCAGCAAAGTGCATGCACTTAACTGCTACGCCACAAGGCTAGCCCCTAAGTTACTACATTTTTAATACTATGATGGAGAAATATCTTAGTCCTTCGGGTCCTGAAGTGAGTAAACCTCAGAGAATCTACCTGGGGCACATCTTGGTAGGTAGAGTAGAGAGTTTGGCCTTGCCCAACATCTAGTATTAACTAGTCTCTAGTTATATTCCCTGCTATAGCAATTCCCCTAACTGAACCCTAAACATCAACCTCTTTTGAGTCTCTCAAGTCTTAGAAACTTATTCCTAACAGTTCACCTGAGCATTGGACACCAGCCAAATCCACACCGTCCATGCAACTTAGACTTTGGAATAGACTGCCTGAGTCACCTAGATCTGAACCTACACTTTCTAGGTCACTTGAACCTTGGAAGCCTCACTATTCTTTTCCCCTTCAACTTCAGAACAATCTGCACCTCCTGGGTTCTGAAAGTTTCACTCTGCATATTCTATGCTTAATGGCCTAGAACATCTGTGCTCTGAAAGGCAGCTGCCGTCACATCCCCCACGAATCATAAACATTTTTCACATTGTACAAGGTCCCTGTGTCCACAGAATTCTAAGAACTCTTCTAAAATCACAGGAAACCCACTAGTTGCTGTGTCAAGAAAGCCCCAGAGGCCTGCCAGTATCAACTTCCTTCAGTCTCATAAACCTGTCCTTTCTGGTTCCGGCACTAGAGTTTGGGTGATAGTTGGACAAGCCAGACTGGGAAAGTCCAGAGAAACTAGATACACAGAGGGGGATGGTGGAGGTGAAGCAGATACTAGGCTCAGGACCAGCAACAAGAAGGAGTCCATCAAGGCAGAGAGACCTCAAATAACATAATAGCAGGGATAGGTGGGCAGTGGCCAACTTCAAGGAGAGCCCATCATGAGGAAAAGGCAGAAAAACCTCCAGGGAGATGGCTGAGCACCTAGCAAGCAGAAAGCTCACCAGGTAGGCAGTTGGTATAGGAAGGACAGATGCTAGTCCTTGCCAAGTGGAGATCCAATACTGGAGCTGAACCTAGAACTAGCTGTCTAGGTGGGACTGGTGTTAGCAATGCCAAACCAGGGCCCGAGAGGCAACTTTGGACAAGAGAGGACAAGGCAAATGTCAGCATGGACTAGGGAACCCAAGTCCCTAGAACTGAAACATCAGTAAAGTGCTGGGTTCCTAGACAACCACACAATGACTATGACAAAGTAGAATCAATGCTCGTGGATTGATATCAGTATTTTGTAGTACCTATGGTGTGAAAAGACATTTCCCAAGATAAAACACATAAAATCTCATGACTGATCAGCAGAGATGAACATTTATAATCAACTTGGAGATAGAGAACAGTAATTTTGAATCTCAATTAGACAAAATGTTATTCCTCAACCTTGGGGGAAAAAAAAGAGTTCCATTCTTCTTATTAGTAGACCCATATCACCAAAAAAAGTACCCTATTATTATACTATTTTGAATTTTCTCAATAAAAATTCGTGAAAATTTGTTTCCTCTCTTGTAAGTGCACACATCTTTGATTTCCTATACATACCTATACACTATCTTTGGTTTTGTCTCTTGGCCCACAAAGCTCAAAATATTTACTAACTAACTGACCCTTTGCAGGATTGCTGATCCCTGATCTACCCCTTGATTCTTCCAGGTTTCAAAGGCTGGCACTAATGTACTTAACCAGAGGAATCTGTGCCAGCTTGTCACCTGAGCCATCGGTTACCACCTGATGATTCAGAAAGGCAGAAACCTGATGTGATGCCTCCTTGTGGCGTTGCAATTGTTTTCTACTGGACAGCCAACATTTCTCAGGTTATCTC